TTAACAGCAATAAAAATGTAGGGCGATGAAAATTGGCAAAAAACATGTTCTTGTAATTTCTAAAGGGTGTTTTTTTTTTTTTTTTTTGCTTATTGATGTATGTTATTCCTGAATCGAATGATCATCTCATCGTTGTATGTTTGAGGACAAGCAATATGGCGGTATGACTTCTGCCAGCTGGCAGCTTGTTGCCCAACGTCTGATTGTGTGTATAAGCGAAAAAACGGGCCGCAATTAGTAGCGAATCTTTCCCGACGTGTCGTTTATTGTATCGAAATCATATTTGAGTATTCACTACAATGTTACACAATCAAACCCATATATAACTCATTTGTAACCTGCAACGCTCAGGGTCGCCTCTAATGATCTAGCCTTTGTGACGCGTAAATATCGACCACGAACATCGGACCTCGTAATAACGCCGCGGAATTTGATCAGTACTAATATTAGCTAAATACACATGTTTCTTTCTCTGATCTTTTTCTCGAATCATTAAGTTGCTAAGTAAACGTATTGCCTGTCAGAAATAGCCTGATGTTTGAAGAAGGAGGAGTATTCACTTATTGCTATTGTTGCTGGCTGGATCGATTTCAATTTTATTTTTTTTAATTTTTAATTTCCCGTTCCAATAGGCAAATCTCACTATATTGTATTTGTTTTGTTTCGTTATATTTTGTCTCAGTGGTCATGCCTACTGCTTAAAGCCGTCTAGTGCCAATAAATGGATCTCAGATCAATATTTTTTTTATATTATTTCGTTGAGATCCTACGTCTAGGGTAGATTTTCACAAGTGGCCTTGTTTTCTTTTGCTATTAGGAACTGCGGTAAAATGCTGTACTGCCTTTGTTGTATGCAGCTTCGTGCAACAAGGACTAGCCTGAAAAAAGGTCACTTCTACGGGAGCGGTAGATGGGAACACTGGTCGCCTGGACAAACAATTGTCCCAAATGCACAAAATGATACAAGAAGCGCCATATTGAAACCAACACCATAGAATAAAACAACTGCTGCTTTTCCTCTATGGGGTGCACAAAAATCATTTATTTAATAATCATTTAGTTAACTTTATGCAGTTGGAACTGCATCGAAAATAGTCACACTGCCGTATGCGTCAACTGGCATTGGCACGTACGAGCATAGTTTAGAATTATGACTTGAAAGGTTTCACAATGCGTTTATTCACGCTTTGGTCGAAAAGCGGTCCTCGCACAAATTCAGGCCCACACAACAGTACATAAAATTCGCACATTCTCAATTTAAGGACTGCCTCTAATTCGCCTCTTCCTGCCAGGATATCAAGTAGACCCTTTATGCACAGAACTATAAACATTAATAGATCCCTTAATAGAGCATTAAATCTGATTATTGTATGGATGAAATGTGCGCAAGCCAATAGCACACAGAAACGAGACCGTTTATAGCAGGACGAGTCTTCTCAGTACATGCGTAGCTCAAGGTGAGCCTTTTTTCGTTGCATTTTGCCATGTCACACACTTTGAACAAATTATCACAAGAGGTTCGACTTCGAAAACACTAACCAGACCTACCATTTACGTACGTACACGCAACATCTTCAGAAGGCGACGAGTCAAAATAGAGACATCGTTTTGCAGTACCAGTGGCCATCAACAGGTCGAACAGGCACAGCCTTGGCCTAATTGCATTACAAAGTGGACTTCCCTCTTGTTCCATTTAAAAAACCAAACACCATCTAAGCGACCATTCGCTACAACCTTTTTCGAATCTCCATCCAATCCTGCCTGCAAAATGTAGCATGGCCTTTTTTTTATACCCGTTTACTGAGCGACTTACCTATGTAGCCTATCGAAACGTATATTAGTGAACCATATTTTATAAGCCTAGAGGCAATATATTAATATATCATAACAATATAGGAAACGACTTTAAGGTAAAAGCTAACAAGGTGGCTGGCATGTAGCAAATAGCCCATACAAGTTTATGGCTTTTCGCTGTCGTCGTAGTTGGCTTTTATGTCTCCGCTGACCTCAGGAATTATGATCACCACTGACTGCCGGAGGCAGTGACGCTTTAGGAGGACAGCGAACAAAAGGCAAAAACGAGAACATACTAGATACCCGAATTTGCAGGTTGCGAGCGATGAAGGACCACTACCGAGAATATTATCATGAAGACAGTTCTGGTCGATTACAGTTAACCCTGATCACACAATCAATGCAAAACAGTTGACGCTTACGCTATACACAAATGGACGATTCGAGCAAGCACGTACTCGTTAAATCTTTTCGATGACGTCTTGCCCACTTGAGCTCTCGCCTTCCGTCCCATAAAAATCCCATATCTGCATAAATACACAATGTGACAATCGACAGAAACGGCAGCCGTAGATCTATTGGCAATGCTACAAGTTTACTGAATATTATACGCGGCCAGTTCAAAGAAGACCGACTTTTTTGGCATATAAACGAACCGACGGCCGACGGTTGCGAAAAATGTGTCACGTAATGCTCCCACGAATTCATGAGTTTTGGCCTTACTCACGTATTCTTTGGCCTGCTAGTTTAGATGACACGGTACAGATTGGATAAGGCAATCAGATTTTTCGGCCTTAACTGCCTATGGCCTGGCGAAGTCGCGTACCAAGCGAAGTTCTGCTTTCATATCCGCTAGTCCCTTTCAGTGCATTTCTGTAAGAGACGTTGAGCTGTTCGACCTTCCAGAGGCTGCAGGCATTTTTAGTGCGAGGACTCCATACCTACATATCTGTTTATGTCGACCGTGCAACTGGGTTTGCGATACACTACCAGCTGGCGTGATGGAAATAGGCTTAGAAATGGTTCAATTTCTGTTCGGGTAGAAGCCCCAGTTTTTGCCCTCTAAACAGCTTGACCTTTTCGCTTGCAATCACAAACGCCAACAAAGGCCATCAGCTAAGACGTGATAATACGTTGAGCGTTGCAACGGAAACTATAAAAGTTCAATTTATTATCATTATGTAGATAATATCTGATTTCTACCGCAACGCAAATGACGGACGTCACTCTACGTTGGGCTAGTTTAAGTTGGTAGTGCTAGCTACTGGGTATACGGATGGGTAACGACCTAAATGATTCATTTGGAGGAATCACGAAGCCCTACTCTGCCCGAGTATAAAGTTGTTCACCTGTGTTATGGGTTTAGAGCTTCGTATCAAAATATCTATTATGCTGCTATATTTACGTAATAATTTCAGTATTCTGTGATTATTTCGAATCAGACTCTCACCTGCCTATGCCATTGACACTCACCAATAAGCAGCTTCTGCTTTTCAGAAACCACTGTCTATTTTTCATCCCAATTGCCCCGAATCAATCACCTCGAGGTTTCCGGATTGGCTATTCCCTCTTTTGTTATTCCCTCTTCGCGACTAGTAACAATAATCTAGCGAAATTCACGATCTTAACAAACAACGATCGCGGAAGATAGGATAGATTTCATTATATAACATCTCCACTCAGATGTAACTTTTCCATTAGGTGCTTGTCGTATTTTACATGGGCTCTTTATATACTAAACAGAACAGAGTATGTTCCATGAAACACACTGGTCGTGTCGGTACGAACCCCTTTGCTTATATTCTATGGTAGCGCGTTGGGTCAACTCCGACGTTCGGAACGATAATGGCAACCTATTCTGTGTCTATACCTAGCAGTATGTGGGGTAGTTTCGACGACTCACTTCTTCAATGCATAGGTCACATATGGCACACTGAAATCAAACTGAACCCAATAAAATAGGTCGGGTAAGTGAAAAAATTAGATTAAAAAAAACGATGCCAACGCCACAGAGATGAAATATGACGGCGATTGTTTAAACTGGACATATACGTTTAATATTCTATAAATTCCAGGCTGCAAGTAATCCGTCTGAGGCAGTCCTTGATGCCAATATTTGCAAATAATTTATTTAGATTATAGATGTGCTATTAAGTGGCACCTATGCGTGTCGGCAGCGTCGGCTGTGAGGCGTCTTTTTTTTCGCAGTGGTCGAGACCCAGCTGTGGGTTGACTAGTCTGCTTATGGCTGCTACTATTAAAGAATCATCAAGTATCAAGATACAAAAACGTACGACACTCAAGGTAGCTTTCGCTGGTTGTAGTACGTCGCCCGCGTTTCTATATATCGATCACTTTATGGTTTATTTAGCACTTTATGATCCCTAGATGTAACATTTGCTCACCACACAACAGCGTCTTACTTTCTCATAGATTTCAATTCCGACACACACTCGTTGCAAACATTTCGAATTCATCCGATAAAAACAACGCCGAGTGATCAATGTCGGCCGTGTGATTATTTCAATAACCTAGGCTTTTTTCGTCGTTGTTCCTCTATCTTGGAGTGCGATCGATCACGTGCACCCCTAAAATATCTCGTCCATTTGAACTACTGAAAAACGGCTACACTGAATGAAATTTTCTATTGGAATATACGGAAACAATACGGATCTGAGACAACGGCTTTGGACGTTTTATGATAGTTTTTACTCTGTTTTAGCGTTGTCTCATAATACAACAACTAATGCTTAAACCCTACTGTACGAAACACACAAATATTGTCTACAAAACATTTAAAAAAAACAAAAAAAAATTTTTAAAAAAACAAAAAAAATAATAAATAGAATAAGTGAAACGTGTGTTCTTGTCCAATATATCAGTGAACAGGTAAGAATATTGCAGTCTTGTTACGCTATTGTCTGTCGCCAAAAGCCGTTCGACACCTAGGTAATATATCGCTTGCGGTCAGAATCGAGGAGTGTGTATTGGTCACATGATAGAAACGTAGTCATTAAGTAATTACACCTGATTTTGTGTTGCTAGAATGCCGTATGATGATTATGCTGGTAGCCTGCCACCGTGGAAAGCTTGTCTATTGCCTCCGCCTGTCTACCTAACTGTTTGCTGTTTTTGCCAGCGCTGCGGCCAACACTTTACTTCTCTACCCGGCATTAGTACACGCTATTATTTTCCTCTATTTCTAGGTTTGTTAAAAGCTGTAGTGGCTAACGAATTGCTAAAAGACGCATGAAAAAGCGTATAAGTTACCTAGCTACCGCGCCAGCCAGGCAGGCCGTGAGCGAGACGACCAGATCACAGCGAACGTCGGATCTTGAGCGCGGACGTGGTTTGAGTCTACTACGAACGGCAAGCATACAGCAGAACGTAAAATGTAATACATTGCCGTTCCACTGATAAGGTAAAGAAGGTCATTATGCAATAATAAGTAGACTATGAATTAGCTAATGCTCACTGAAAATCGAGGAACATATTTGTGTAAAGGGAAAAACGGCAGATTGTCATGACTAGTTTGAAAAAAAGGGGCATGACATTTATAATTCGACCGCTAATCCCCGCGAGTTTCATTGAAGGAGGCTCTTTGAATTAAACAGAAGATTCCGTGTGCATAGTCCTACACTCCGCGTTTTGCTGTCGGACGAAATATATATATATCGCCTATGTGCATAGTACTATTCTACTATGATGCTAGAACTAGGCCCAGTCGTCCTGTAAAGTCCTGTAGAACGTAATAACCCAATGGAGCAACGCCAAACAACACGAATATTCAAGACGTTGGAGTAAGCGGATAACTACAGTGTTCGCTTGAAGTTTTTTCCTCCGAATTTCTTATGTTTTTCTCTCCTATTTCCGCGCTGCGCCGGTCATTTCGTGTTATTCTTATTATTTATCCATTTGGGTTAGTTTTTTTATCACTGCCGTTACAAATTCGCCCCGCCCGAGTAAACATTAACCGAAAGCTTTCGGCCACAGTCCGAAACAACAATTTGCTATTACGAAGCTCAAGCGTTGAATGATTTCGAAAGTTCGAATTTATTTTTACGTTCCGCTTTTTGTCAGCGCTGCTCTTTATGTTGAAATATTGCGATTCGTTACGCAGCCTGTAGCTGTTGAGCTGCATACATGCCAAAAGGAATACAGTTACTATCCTCCTTGTGTCCTTCTCTTCCTTATGCAGATCGCTCCCTTCCCCCTCGTAATCTTGTCGAGGTTCAAGCAGCTGCACCAAAAGAAACGCTGTCACCGTCGACGGACAGAATGAGGGTCATGGCTGAACCAACTTCTTAATGAAAACCTGGTTTTTCGTTCTATTTCCCTCGTGCAAAATCTATTCGACCTCCGACGTGCGACAAAGCAGCTCCGAGAACACGCAACATCAATTCAGCAGCTACGGCAGTAGCGCGAAAAGAACGAGTACATCGCTGTGGTTGTTTTTTTTTGGCTAACGTAGTAGTGAACGTGTTATCTGCAGCATCTCAAATTAGAAAGAATAGGCCGAAACGCATAGGAAGAAGAGAAGACGAACCAACATGGAGCAATATAGAACCAACGAACGTCGTTGATAGTCAGGCAACGCTAACGACGCGCGAACAAAAGATAAAGTAAGCGTAGAAAAAATGGATGGAGATGTAGGTCAAAGTTTGCTTGGCAAAGTTTGACAACGGTAAAATTGACCCACAGAGGGAAAACAACTTACGGGAGCAGTGCATTTTCCTAGAACAGAAGAATTAGTGGAGACAGAAGATCCCATAGGACAGCCTATCGGAGCAATGTCCTACCCAATATTCTGACAAGACGGACCATGTCATCGGCCTGTATCAAAAACATTTAATCGGCCTTTCGGACGGTTGTGCCACCCTTGGTACTTGTATGCGTGTTCTGTTGGGAACAGTCACTTTACTTTCGAAAGAAAAAAAAACAACCCCTACCTAGCGATCTACTTAAGTCCTATTATTTCGCTATTATCGTAGTAGGTCACCCTGTTCCGTCTATCGGGAAAGGTGTATTAGGTCAATTCCACAAAATAAATTCTTGCCTTTGTCTGTTCTTTGTAGGTGGTCGGCTATAGGAGCGGAAACTAAGGGTGTTACAGTCTCTTGTAATATCAGCCAACAGTCACGTGCTTGAATTAATTCTTAATTTGCTTAAAAGACGTAAATTGTATGTAGCTCCTATAAAAGAGTACTTCTGATATAAGCATATATGTTAAAATGTATACTGGTTGTAGCATTATGTACTGTAGATTCATGTTGGTTAATATCAGAACCAATCATTTTACAATATATTTATGTAAAACAAATGCACAACGAACCTGTGTGCGATTGTCCTATTTTTTGGTATTGGGCTATTCCATAGCCTTCATTTATCCCTCAAGCAATGCATCTATTTCATAGCATTAGAATTATTCAGGTATAGTATAACCAGTTCTGCAAGTCTTCGTCATTGTTAATCATAGTATTACAATTTTTTTCAGGAATTAGAAAAAGTGCCCTCGCGGCAAAACGTCTTTGTTGCACAACGAAAGTATAACTTTGTTCCAACTTTGTTAAAGTTGGAAGAAAGAAGAGCATTTTCGTATAATATGTAGAAATAATCTTAACGCTGCGGTATTTAACAACTCTGGTCTTACCGGAGAAGAACCATTACCGTTGATTGATTCACCGCTTGTCAATAATAATATATTGCAAAAGATATGTATAATAAGATAATATAATGTAAGACCCTGTCCTTTCCTACAATAGAGCCGGTATTTTTACATACAATTGTTTTCCAGGATCTCCTCTGATCCCCGCAAACGCTCCTTCCCAGGCTTCACTTCCCTCGTATGTTAAAATATCAGTAAGGCACTGGTACAAATGTATCAAAAGAAAAGAAACCAAAAGGGTACCTCGACACGATATTACCTACCGTACACAGTATACCGCATTCAACAAACGACGGTAAAGCCATTCTTCTCATCTTCATCTTTATATCTGCACAATAGGTTCCTGACGTAGAGCTCACCGTTCGAGCTATTCTTCTATGTGCAAGCAGACACAATGACGAGTAAGTGCATCGTCTGTAGGCCATGCTGAGCCAAGGCCCGGCTAACTGTCCTTTGTTCTGTCCAGTATACAAGTCCACGAATGTACACGAATCCCACAAACAGACTTTACCCAAAAAAATTACGAATGTTTGCCAGTATAATAGACAAGCTGGCGGCAGCAGCAGCATCAGTAGTAGCAGCTGCGTGTGACATGCGATAACAAAGGACAACTATCGCACCGGAGACGTATCTGGCCTGGTCAAATAGAACGTTTCTGCATATGAATTGCAGGGGGGTGAAGGGTGTTGTAGCAAAATGATATTTCCACGTACAAATGCTGGTTCAGGGCAGTTTGATAAAGGTTGCTCATTACAGGTGGACTAGGCCATCTTAAGGTGTCATACAATAGCAGCAACACACAATAACAATAAAGACAGTAAAAGCGGCTGGTTCAGAGGCGGGGATCGATTCTTGATCTGTGCCAGTATCTGCCACTCTTTATAGGTACCTTGACTTGTACAAGTCTTCTAAACTTGCTTGTAGGTCTCTCCTTGTAGGAGGGTTTGTGAATTTGTAGGCGAGTGGCCACGGGCGCATAAGCAACCATATTGGCTACAAGAGATATCGGATGGCGTGTGGCACTAGTACGAAGTATTGGCATCTGCTAGAAGAACTTGTACTCCTGTATGAAGGCTACCTGCAGCCGTTGCCCTAGGCAATACTTCTAATCAGAGCTGTCCTGACGAGCGCAGTGAGCTCCAAGGCGCAATCAGCGCGGTAGATCTGGATAGGTGGGCAACCAACGCTGGGAATGAGCACTATTGATCGTGAAGAGGTAGGAATACTAGGGTGAAACATGATTAGAAACACTGTTATGGAAATTGTTGTCACAGTAAACAATAACAGCTCGTTTTTTTGGTAGCTGATTACACAGTATTTGTTCAATTGTTCCTATATCCAATGGTAGAATCGCTGGGCGGCATTGTCGATCAATGAGCAACGGTAACTAATTGTTACATAATCGCCATTAGAGAAACGGTTTACATGCTTCAGCCTTGTTCTAACTTACGGGTCATCTTAATGAGTTGCACTATCTACATTCTACTTCTTGCTATTCAACTGGTAATCGCTAATGGAAAGAAACCGTAATTGAGTATAAAAATCAATTTAATACTTTTTTTTTTTTCTTTTTTGTTTGCAGATGTTTCCGTGCAACAACTATGACGTGATCAAAATTCCAGGGGGTTTTTACGATAAGACTTATGTTGATGCTCTATGCACTAACTTGGTTCACTTCTGACGGGTGAACGTTTGCTAAGCACTAGTAAAGCCACTAATATAAAAACTCTCTTGGCTCTGTGAGACAATAAATTGACTCGGGCGTGTTTATCAACGAAACGTTGGGATAGGTGGTAGTTTGGGCTCAATCCGGACGTCGATAGACTTTACTTTGTGTTGGGAAAAAGCGTATTTCTGACATTTTTTTTTAGAGTAAAGACGTTGCCCCTGTAAGACAGTGCAGCAACAGTGACCTGTCAGCTACGAAACCTAAAGGTGTATGCTAAGATAATGGACAATCTCGTTTCGTGTTGTATGAATCAGCCATTTAAAACAGCAACCCCGAGCCGGACGCTAGGTCATTGTAGGTCGCAATATCAATGAGCGGCAATAATTTCAAAATGGTCGTACGGGTTGAAAGTGAAGCAACTAGTTATTGATGGTTGGTATATCGTACATTGTACGTGCTGCATGTATGCAATCCATATATTAGAACAGTTTATATTGTAAACGGAGAACAGGTTAGAGTGAGGTATGTTCGCAATACGAACTTGAATTTCTAAATGAGATATCTAGTAAAAGTAGGTTTAAACATGAAGCTATATGATTGATGGGAAGCAGCTTTCCTAGTCAACGAAAACCCTATCTCTGATTAGGTAGCGAAGAGAATTAACTGCTATATTATACTGCCGCGTCCATTGCGGGACCGAAGCACGTTAGGAAGAACCATCTCAAACAGAGAAGACCAAGACGCAGTAAGCACACTCAAGGACAGCTTAACTTAGACATTACTATTAGGATGTTTATTAATACAGCCAGATTGAGCTGAGGTCGTTAACCATGCCGTGCTTTCGGATAGCTATTGCGTAGACGAAATAAAAGTAAACAAGAATTACATCAAAATTTGATAGAAATATTTGGCCTAATTGTCAAGGGAAAACGCCTGTTTTATGTTGACACGAATAGAGTCTGTTAGCTTGGGCCTAATGAATCGATTCCGGTTCTCTATAACTCGGATTAGCTTTAGCTGATCTTAACAGAAGCAGCAATAATATATTGTCGGACGTTTCTGCAGAAACGCTAATAAAGCAAGCAACCAAACCTGAGATCATACATGCATGTAGTATTTTCTACTTGATACTACGCGCGGTCGGTAGCATGATATATCTTGGCTACTTCAGAATAAGCCATACACGTTAGCGAGGCATGTGTACGAATCTACCAGTCCCCACTGGCGACGATGCAAGAATTAAGGTGCTTTAAAATGATTATCTCAAAGGGAGAACCTTCTCCCACGGTGTAACTGGAAGGTAAGTAGCTATAGTATTTCCCGCAGCCACGGGCCTCCCTCTTGCCAGAGGATTTTTTATTTCATTTCGGACAGGTTTCATTAATTAATTGTCGTGCGGATGTTTGATGGCCGGTCGTTAACCTACGACGACAAGGGCAAGGACGAGGCGCGTACTCCCAATGCCCCGGCTCAGTGAACCCTCCAGCTACTTCCTGCTTTCAAACGCAAGCTTTTATTTATGCACTAATCGATTTCCATTTCCATTTATGTTCTTCTTAGGCTAAAAGCGAAATCAATCAACAAAGGCTTGAGCTCTCGAGACTGTTTTTAAGTTCGGAAGTTCTTCACTTGGAACAATGTAAGTAACGAAAAAGAAGAGATCCACCGGTTGTGCCATGGATGGATATAATAATCCAATTATGGCCATTGCGCTAAACGTTAGCCATTACTGTTTCAACATCCCATCCAGTGAGCGCGATATTTTGCAGCTCGGAATTTCAAGCTTGAATTTCGAAATTCGGCATAAACGAAATGTATCTGTTTTCATTTCGCTGGGTCGACGTAGCTCGTTCAGGACCTTTATTTTTGGCCATAGGAAAAAATTTTGCGTCTATACATTTCTTTACATAAAGGCCTACACATGGTTCACTGTAGGTGCCTATACCACAAAGCTTCGTTTGAGCGGCTCCTAACAAGGAGGCGCGCGTAATAGTTCGGTAGTTTGACCCAGCCGTTTCAAACATCCATACTCGGACATGCTACTCTCTCCAGCCGTGCGTCCCGCGTCCTGTCCTTGATGGCAAGAGGGATATTTTCTCGTTTACCTAAATTGTAAATTTTCCACAGACCTTGAGAAGCGGAGAATCTCTCAGGACTGGAAGAGATCATCTGCAAAAACGACATTAACGACGATTGTCGCCGGTATGAACAGAATTTCGATACGAAGCTGCTAATGCGGATTGCAGTCTCTGCCATAGCTCAGAACAGGGTCACACAGCAGAGCAGAAAGAAGTTTGGCTACAGTAGTAGGCACCCACCGTTCCCAGACTCCTGTGTCTGCCGCTAGCGCTAAGGCTGGTCGTCATTATCCATAGCCCTAATAGGCGAAAACTAACGACACCTTGCTAACGGCACCGTGGCGAGAAATACAAGTAGAAAAGATGTCGCGGCAAGGGCACGTTCAGTCGCAGAAGGAAAAGATCATGCGCTTGGAGCCAGTCATCTTTGTTACGAAAAATTTGCTTTACAACATTATCTTCTGCAGCGGAGTCGGAGAAGTAATTTAGCAGCAAATTACTCATCACTTCATCAGCGCTGCTTCCGAGTAGCGAAGAAGAATGTGTGAGACCTCGGACTAATACCGTGCCAATCGTTGGGTGGACGATATCGCAAAACAAAAAAACACGCGCAGGATTTCGCCGAGATCACTGAGGTATGAGGTGGGAAATGAAACTATCTATCTTCTAGATGGTTTGTCATATGTCTCGCCCATACGATTATGGCTGATGGAGTGTCTGTATTGTAATTTTCACGAGAAAATGGATCGTGGTTGGGCAGCCAGAACGAGAGGTGGGACTAATCCCAGAATTAGGTTCTGTGGTAAAAACGGATAATCGAGAAACTGGCTAGTGGCTGACTCGTGCGTGGACGCTAATAACCTACTTTTACCTTAATGGATCACAAAACATATACTAAACCAGCTTCCAATATCGACACTATTTGATTTACTTTACCCATAGATGCATATGTATACTTTATACAAAGTGTGATAGAGGGTTGGAAGGAAAATGATTAAGTTAGAAGATTCTAGCGAATTCAGCCGGAAGAGCAAACCTGCTATCTAGCTTCAACGGCGAAAAATACGTATTTACACACCTGATTCAGCTAGTTCACAATGCAGTCTACCCCATTGTATATAGACTCTATTATATGGTTAATTCCGGTTCCTGCACACATACTATGGGTTACATTGCACAACTCTACCGAGTGGTTTCTACCAAGACATTCAAGACCACGTCACAATCTAGCTCTCGTTTTACGGAAGAAAGCTTTGCAACGAAACATCACCAACGTGAAAAGACATACAGCGACGGCGACTACGAGCGGTCCGTATGCATTCCCCTTTTCCGTGTATGGTGTAAAGAGATGAAATACTTGTCTAACGCGTAAAAAGGAACGTTTTCTACTGCTTGCAATAAAAATTGCTAGCGATATTTAACCGTCATCGAAAAGAACCGGCAGGATACTTCTCATATATGGGGGAAAACAGGAGAAAAAGGCAAGCCCCGGCCTGCGACTAACTAGGTATCAATATATAGCCAGGCACTGTTCACTGTCGCCTGTCAATGTCCATGCTTTGATTCAGAGCGCCTTGAGCCGCCTCGCATCTAGCAGGGAAGAAGCTTTACAATACGATCTCATGGCACAATTTTTATTTTGTTTTTACTGTCACTTGCTATGCCGTAAACTTACAGTTTACGGCATAGCAAATGGCCCTCATCAAAAACCTCACTCAAACTAGTTAATTTTTTCCTACTTGTTTTTTCCGTCCCCTGAGCTGCTTTAAATTGGCGAGTATCGATCGACAGGAAGGTTATCACACACCAGCTTGTATGTACATTGATTCGAATGGAAATATTCCTAGCTCGGTGTTTTGTGTTAGTATTAAATGCGATGTACTTAAAGGCAGGTCGAAGGCGAGAAAAATACTTGAAAAGGGCGGGCCGTAATGATTAAGGTTCAGTTCCAGTTGAATAGTAATTTCGAGATTTCGAATAAACGGTACAGTTAATGTTAGTTCATGATGAAAAGTACATATTAGAATCATTAAAACACAGCGTACCATTTAAAAACATTGCACCCTTCACAAACGTTCGTTTGGTCACACAATTTTAGATCATCAGGATATATGAAAAAATCGGATATAAATCACTTCCACTATTTTCATATGAACGTTATAACTATTTTATATATATAAACTATAAGCTATTAGTGATTAGGACGTAAAAAGAACCTTCGCGGAGAGAGAGTTCGGTATCAATATAACTGATCTCAGCTATCAGACATTTAAAAGCCTAAGCTCGGTCAACAGCTTCGAATGGTACACTTTACCGAAAGCGTTCGAAAAATTGAAACGTACACAACCAAAAACCTTCTTATTGTTAATATTGATGGCCTAATCCCGCTAACTGTGTAGCAATAGACCCTCCCTTATAAAGCCAAGCTATTGTATAGTTATGAACCTTAGTCCTAATGGTACCAACCTTAGTCCAAATAAAGTCAGCATGCTGAGCTAACAACTTCTCAAGCGTCATGTACTACTCCCTAAGCAATTGAACAACGGAGCTCTGTTGGTTTCACTTAATTTTATTCTTGCTTCATAGGTTTACCTAATTTCTGTCTATCTATTCCCTGTAGCATCGATTACATTTCCATTTTTAGAAAAGTTACATATACGATGAACGGCGAATAGATGCTATCGATTTGTCATAAAGCCGATACCATTATGGCTGAAGCAATTTCGAAGCAGGGTGAAATTGGTGCTAGCCGCTCGGTGCCATCATTTTTTCGCTTATGTAACTCCATCGGAGTCCTTTTTGTCAAGGTCACCCATCTTGCCTATGCGATGGTTTCTAGGACGAGAATTTCAGAACAAAATTAGCCAATCAGTTCTCCGATCTACCCTCGGTCCTATAAAAAATGAGAAGGAAAGTGTGTATATATAAAGGGAGAGAATCTAAACATCGGGCTGCTGGTTCGAAAGCCATTTCGAACTATGAAATAGAGCGATAAAATACGTATATCCTAAGAAGCGTAGCAGACTTTGCCTATTTCCGATAACATCCAGAGCCAAACCGATCGCTGGGCAAGAAACGAACGGATCGGAAACCAGCCAGCCGGCCGGCCGGCCAGCCAGGCCCGACAAATATGCGACGTCTGTTACCGTGGCACTGCTGCCAGTGAAAACTACCGTAGCGGCGGAGCGTTGGCAGCTCAACTAAAATGCGCAGAAATTCTGCAGACTAACCGCTGTCTGAGGTTGAAATGGTCGCAACTGGAAAACTCCCGAGGTTGTGTTATGTTTCGGTGAAAAGTAAAGAGACAGAACGAAACATATGCCAGGTCCAGCGTTTGGACGCTAGAAGCAATATTCGGGCGGAAAAACTTACGGCGAAACAGCTGATACAATAGTAAATGAGGTGTGCATGAAGTCTACCGTAGGCCGGCTTCAAGCCAGTGAGATATAAAATAAGAAGTGAATTAACAAGGTGGAATCCTTCAAAATTACGTAGAACACTTGGTGAGATTAAGGCAGCTAAGACGGATATAAATACACGGGGCAAGGGTGCAGGGTGCATTGGCTGAAGATTAAGTTAACTAATAACTGTTGTAATGGAAGGTAGAAATCTGTGGAAGAATGGTTGGCCGGGAGATCTGTTAGGCTCGTAAATTTAGTGCAGATCAATATCTATTTGGCACACAAACTTTTGTTTGCAGCTATAATATATGGTGTGACAGAGCTCTTGGGCACAATAAGGAAAACTTCGCTCCGAAGACGCCTGGAATTGACAGTGAAAATCGGCTCTCATAATTTATTTTGTCAGAATCAGTTTTTGCTTCATCTCTAATGACGATTACGAGGTGGGTCAAATAATAGTAAAAACCAAGCTTTGTACCTAGAAGTTACTCACTAGAAGGCTTTGAACTAGTTGGTAGCTTATTTGAATTCAGACAAAAAACTTGCATGTGGTGTAACATTTAACAAC